ATGGAGCCAATGGATACTAGTTTCTTGAGCTCCATTCGTGTAACCATTTAACTCCATTGGCTCCATTGCCAACCCTGTGAACGACTATGGTTTCATTAGTAAAATGCTTGGGCAAAATTGATCAATTCCGCCCATCCGACCAAGGTTCCGATACATTTCGATCCGGATCCCTATGTATGAGTTCTCCCTGTAGGAGTTTGGTAATACGAAAATAATAATAATAAATACGTATGAAAAAAGTTTTAATTGAAAAATTAAATTTTACTCGTTAAAATAATGGAAATAGTAACTTTCGTTGGAATACTTCTCTTTTTATATATTATATATTTTTATTTTCGTTATTTTACCCGTCCGAATCCTCTTCCTGGTCCATTCCCATTACCATTTATTGGGACAATTCTTCAAATTGGGTTGGACCCTCGCAAATGGGCTGAAAAAAATTTAAATGACTCTGTAGATATCTGGGAATATTACATTGGCCCTTTTCGAGTTATAGTTCTCTGCGACGCAAAATACCTTGATAAAATATATTTGTCATATAATAAATCAAAGAATTTATCGAGAGAAACAAAGTTTTTTAAACGCAACATTGCCGCTCATGACGAAGTGGGAATAACAAGAGGCGTAGTATTTAATAATGATTTTCATAAATGGAAAAGAAGTCGGCAATTTGTCACTAAAATTTTAATGTCAAAAAAATATCAAAATGGATTAATAAATAGTGTTCAGAAGATATTTAAGGGATTTGAAAAGCAATGGGATGAAAAGAATATTGTAACCTTGGATTTTTCCGAATGGATATCTCTTTATAAAGCAGAAATAACAATCGCGACTGTTATTGGACAACCACTATATAACTTACCATCATTTGATTCAATTTCCAAAGCTGCATCTGAATACATTGCAATGTTTGCTTTTATAGTTTTTGTACCAAAAGTTATTAGTAATATTGTTATGTTACTTGGATTTAGTACTATGAAAAAGAAGTCCATTTTCTTGAATGGTACAATGCGTGATATTATTAAAAAACGTAGGAATGAGATTAAAGATGGATCACCAACAAATTTTAATTTATTGGACTTATTGTTGATTTCTAATTCATCAAAAGATTCTGAAGACTATATCGAGGGTGAACAACCTATGGATGATGATGAAATTGAGAACAATCTTGCTGAAAGTACTGCAACTTCTATTGAGACGGTATTTACCAGATTTTTTAATTAATTTAAATCAATGTATAATACTAATCAATATTTAATAATAGAGCAGCACTGCTCTTTGTTTTCTTATCTATCATATTGCCAAAAATCCTTCAGTTATTGAAAAAATTCGTGCAGAAGTTCTTAAAATATTTGGCTCAGATATAAACTCAATAATTACTTACGAAGCTCTTGAAAGTTGTCGATATATAGATGCATTAGTCAAAGAAACATTACGTCTCTCAACTCCAATTCCATATAATTTACGAATGCTCGATGATGATGAAAGAATGGGTAAATTTGATTGGTCATCTGGAACATTGTTCTGGATTGATCATCACCGAATAATGAATGATCCTAATCGTTGGAAGGAACCAAACAAATTTAATCCTGATCGATTTCTTAGTGAAAAAAATGGAGGCACGGGCGAATATAGTAAAATTTGTAAGAATGGATATGTGCCATTTGGTGGAGGTTTAAGAATCTGTCCAGGAAGAAATCTTGCATCAATTGAGATAAAATTGTTTGTAGTATTGTTTTTTAGAAAGTATAATATTGAGTTAGTAAACGAAAACGAACCAATTAAATATGTTTATAGGGCAACTAACCAAGTTCATGATCTAATGATCAGAATATCTCAAAAATAATTACATGGACCATAATCTTAGATTTGATGACCAATTATTTTGTTACTAAATAGCAAGTTGTAAAAGTTAACACTATGATTTGGTGATTTTGTTATAGAATCTCTTATATATATAATTTCGTTTATTATTATTTATTTATTTTTTTTCGTTTTATTGAACCACGAAAAATTTTGATAACCGTTTATTCGCGTCGTTTAACTATAAATTACACGATTAATCATATTAATTGCTCAATCATTTAATTGCAATCATATAACCGTTATCTAATCACTTACAAGAACAAGACAATATTCACGATGATTCTACGCGCATGTCTTTTTTTTGTATAATTAATTAAATTATAATAAATCGCTGATCAAATTCTATTCAAATAAGTAATTTTATCGTTACGTATACAAAATAAATATGTATATATATACTGTATATACTATATATATATAATATATACGTATATTTGACCTTTTGTCAAACTTGACCACGACCAGTCCGTGCACCGTGCAACCCTGCGGTGCAATATAAATATGTTCAACCCTTCAATTAACAGTTAAAGGTATTCGTTATCTTCAACAATTACGATTAACAAAACCTGGGCACGTGAGTAATTGTCGGTTGTAACTTATGCAAAATTTATCTATCTGCTACTGATGTAAAAAAAGTCCGAGCGTGCGTACGTACAGTACGTAAACTTATATTTCTAACAAATATTTGATTTATTATAACGTTAAACGTTGATCCTGTCAGCCTAACCAACCATGACCAAATTATATAAACCTTCATTAACCAAAAAAAAATAACTTATAATACGAGAAAGGAGCTTTTTAAAGCCAAACTTAAATAAATATCAGGTTTGTCATCAATTTCAGGCACCCTAAATAGAAATACCAATTGATAAATATTGGTCATCTCATTAAGCATGATACACCAACTTGATACATTTGAATTAAAATTTAATTACACAAAATTTTAC